ACAAAACAGAAAAGAGAATAGACAACAATGCAATACTTTATGACTTTATGACCTCACTTTCAACAATGGACGGATCATTCCAACAGAAAATCCACATAAGAAATCATGGGACTTGAACTACAATTTAAATCAAATGGACACACACACACACACACACACACACACACACACTTTATCCATGAGTACAGAAAACACATTTGTTTCCAGAACACAAAGAACATTCACCAGAATGGATCAGATGTCAGACCACAGAATAAGAGTTGATAGAGTCATCCTTTTTCCTTGAACAGGGAACAGGTAGAGGAGCATTTCTGCTCCCCAATATTCATTGTATGAGGGACCACTCCAACTCCCAGACAGAAGTCTAGTGTGCAACTGACTTCCTACTTGGTTCCTTTTTGCTACTGGGTCCAGCACCTGCCACCCTACAGGGTGGGGGAAGGGGACTTTCAGTCCAATGGGCACTGCCTCAGCCTGCACTCCAGCTGACTACCATTTTCTCCTCTGTCATCACACATGGCAGACTTCACTAAGGATAGGATGGAACTGCATTGGGAAACTGGAGACCTCACTAGACTGGCTCCTCTGAGGTCTCTCCTGTCCCATCAGACCTCTCCTCCTCTTCCTTCACTTTCCTTGATCTTCCCTTCACATCCCAGAAATCCCTTGATCTGTGCCTCTTCAACACCCTCACCTCCCTACCCTGATGTCCATCCCTGCAGACTTTTCCCTTCTTACTTCAGCCCCTTACTGCCCTATGGTCACCATAGTTTTCTGCCCCTTTCCTCATTAGGGGTATCAAGGGACTCAGGGACTCCCAAGAGACACAGAAAAGCTAGTGGGAAAAAAATGGATTTTTCATCTACTCTGCTGAGTTTTGGAGTCATTCTGAGAGCTACTTGATGTATCCTTGGTCCCTCACCCAAACTACAATCCACAACCTCCATAAGGTCGCATATCACAGCAAAGAAAATCCTAGTCTCCTCCAAAAATACTTGCAGGAAAATTAGGTCCTCACATTGAACAAGTAAACTCAATTTTCCCATCTGCCAGAAACACATTCCAAACAGAAATATAAAGTCTACTAAATGCAATGGCCAACTCTCTTTATATCAACCAGTGAGTTTTGTATTTTTGTGCTTCTGCCTAACTCGTTGCTAAAATTGGAGAATGAAAGGTATAAGATCTCTGCTGTGAATGTCTGTTTTTATATTCACCCATATACCCAGGTATATGTTTTACATACACAGAGATGTGTGAATATATATATGTGTAATTTTGTAATTTTCCTATCTCAGAATGGTATTTTCATATCAATATATGATATCCCTTAAAAAACTCTGCTAATTAGTAGAAAAATGTATGTGTGTGTGTGTGTATGTATGTGTGTATATATATATATATTATATATCTCCTTATACATCCAGAATTTTCTTTTTTTGGTACTGGGAATGGAGCCCAGGGCTGTTTCCAGCCCTTTATATATTTTAAGTTTTCTTTTCTATTGGGGGGTACTCCCCAGTACTCAAGGGCACTTGACCACTGAACCACATCCTCAGTCATATTTGGTAACTTATTTAGAGACAGGGTCTCACTGAGTTGTTTAGCAGCCTTGCAGTTGCTGAGGCTGGCTTTGAACTTGTGATCTTCCTGCCTCAGCCCTGGTATTAGAGGCATGAACCATTGCGCCCAGCTTCATTTTTAGGTTTTGAGATGGTCCCACCAAGTTTGAGGCAGGCCTCAAACTTGCCATTCTCCTGCCTCAGTCTCCTGAGTCACTGGGATTACAGGTGTGCACCACCATGCCCAGATAAACTCACACATTCTTAACTACAACCAGACACAACCTCTCGTGGCAATATGCAACAAGAACATATGCGTTTCAGTCTGGAACCTTAGCCTCAGAAGATTTAAAGGAAAAAAACTCATACATATGCAGATGTTCTTTCTTTCATTCCAGTGGTACCAGGAAACAACTCTATGCATATGAACTACATAAATGCACATATTTTTGACTATGAAGAAAATGATGAAACGACACAGTATTTCTGAAATATGGTTAAGTGGAGAAACTGGAGCATACTGTTGGCTCTGGAAAGTAATTGTTGAAGAGTCAAAGAGCTGAATGAGAGAAGGGGATGGAAACTTGGGGAGCTGTCTCACCAGAAAGTTCTCCATGAAATCTCTATTGCCTGACATTAGTAGCAGCTGAGATTTCACTTTCTCAAAAAGCCAAAGTTGCAATCACGATTGGTCTGTCACCCCATCAATGGTGGGCATGGGTCTCCCTTTCTGGAAG